TTGTTGTAACTCATACAAAATGTAATTTTACCCAGGAGTCAGGAAGTAGAAAACACAGAGGGGTCCAGCAGGTGTTGGCTTCCCAGGAATTCTCTTATGTTCATTAGCTTCTTCTTGTTATGACAAAATATTAAGAAAAAACAGGAGGAGGAAAGATTTTGTGGGTTTTAATGAATTTTTTTATCTGTATGAGTATATTGCCTGTATGTGTATAAGTGCACCTGTGTCATGCAATGCCTGAAGACATCAGAAGAGGGCATCAGATCCCCTGGAACTGGAGTTACAGACAGCTGTTAGCTGCCATGTGGGTGCTAAGAATCAAACCCGGGTTCTCTTCAAGAATGGCCGGTGTTCTTAACTGCTGAGTCATCTTTCCAGTCTCAAAAGATTTGTTCAGACTCAAAGATGCAGAGCATTCGGTCCATGGTCACTTGAGTCCAGTTCTTTGAACCTGAGGCAGGGCTAAGCATCATGGAGAAAAGGGATCATAGAACAAAGCTGCTGACCTCATGACAGCCAGGAAGGAGAGAGAAGAGAGAGAGAGAATGAGAGAGCACAAACAGTGGGCCAGGGCCAATTTATACCCCTTAAAGACACACATCACAGAGACCTGTTTCCTCTAACCAGCCCCCTCTTCTAATGAGGTTAATGTCCTTATGAGCCAATCACTTCTAGCTAGCTAGCTTGCCCCAGGGATCTGTGCTCTCCATTTCCCAAGTGCTGGGACTACAGTGAACTGCCACATCTGACCAGCTTTTACACAGGTGCTGGTGATCCAAACTCTGTTCCTCACATCTGTGTGGCAAGCACTTTATCCCTTGAGTCATCTACTCAGCCTTCAAGTTATTTTTGTGTCTGTGCCTGTGTGTCTGGGTATAAAATCGGTACCTGTGGGCTGGGAGATGGCTCGGTTGGTAAAGTGCTCAGAACCTATGTAAAAAAGCTGGGTATGGTGGCTCACATTTGTAACCCCAGCAGTCGGGAGGCAGGGACAAGTGATGCTTGGAGCTCACTGTCAACTAATCTAGTCTAAATGATGAGTTCTGGTGATAGACCCTATTTCAAAAACAAGGTGGGCAGTGCCTACAGAATGACAACCAAAGTTGACCTCCAGTCTTCTCTCTCTCTCTCTCTCTCTCTCTCTCTCTCTCTCTCTCTCTCTCTCACACACACACACACACACACACACAAATCTCTATTGGACAGTCTCTACTAGGCCCTCTGCTCCTCTCTCTCCCTCTCTCTCTCTTTCTCTCTCCCTCTCCCTCTCCTCCCCTTTCCTCCCTCCCTTTCTCTGCCCCCACTTCTAGGGTCTCATTATGTCATTATGTAACCCGGGCTAGCCTTGAACTCTCCATCTTCTGGCTTCCACCTCTCAACTTCTGGCATTACAGGCCCTACCATGCCTGCCTGGCTTACTCTCGCTCTTCCCACCATCAGGGAGCCTCCCACTGCTCCACACTGGAGCTGAAGCCTAGGTTCATTTCCTGATGGAATGCAAGAGCAACAGGACATACATGAGCAAGGCTGCGGGGAGGGGACAGGGCAGCCTGGGGAGGGTGGCTGGAGAGGAATGAAATTTGTAACAAGGGCTGAAGTTGCCGGAAGGAAGCCGGAGGATCGAAAATTCAAGGCTAGTTTGGGTTACATAATGACATAATGAGACCCTGGAAGCGGGGACGGTTGCCATTATGGGATGTTTGGCAGACCTGTGACGACCCCTCAGCCTGTGACCCTTCTCCCTGGGCTCTGGGGATACACTGGAGCTCAAGCTGCCCAGAAGGCAGGGAAGCAGGTAGGAAGCAGGTGTCATTTTTCCAGTTGTCAACTGTTACCAGTAGAGCCTAAGGGGGATGCCTTCCCCATCACACTCATCTACAGAGGCTCCTGGCTGTAAAACCAGGTTATGACCGGATGTGCCCATTGTAAGTTGAAAATGTCGGCTGAGGCCACAGTTCAGTCAGCAGACATGAGATTCTGATTCTGATCCCCAGAACCCATGGAAAAATGCTGGACATGGTGGCATGTGCTTGCAATCCCAGTGCTGAGAAGGTGTAGAGAGGTGGATTCCTGGGATTTGCTAGCCAGTCAGCCTAGCTGAATTGGTGAGCTCCAGGACAGAGAGAGACCTCCTCCCACCCCCACCGTTGTCTCATAATAAATGTACAGCACTCAAGGAGTGACAGCCAACGTTGTCCTCACACAAACATGTGTACACACGACACAGTCACCTGCACACACATGAACATGCATGCATATGTGCACACACACAAAGAACATATCGTGGGGCTGGGGAGAGATGGCTCAGCAGTTAAGAGCATTTGTTGCTCTTCCAGATGACCAGAGTTCAGCTCCCAGCACCCACATCAGGCAGCTCACAACCATCTGTAACTCCAGTTCCAGGAGACCTGAAGCTCTCTTCTGCTCTCTATAGGCACTGCACTCATGTGCACATACCCCTCCACACACATATACGTAAAATTTTAAGTTTTATATATTATATATAATTTATAAATAAAATATAATGCAATTTTAAATATTTTTTTAAAGTTAAAATTTTGTTTATTTTTATTTTATGTGTATACGTGTATTGCCTGCATGTAGGTAGGTGCACCCCTGTCGTGCAATGCCCGTGGAGGTCAGAAGAGACTGTCGGATCCCCTGGGACTGGAGTTACAGACAGTTGTTAGCTACCATGTGGGTG